CAAAAACAGGGCTGGAAAGAGCTAAATGGAGCGAAATGAGGCATGGCTAAAATGCAGGATCTGTTTGGTATGTTGAAAAAAAAACTATATTTATATACTTTATATAGGTATGGCCCTACAATATATTGTTCAAATATAGCATGATAGGTGTCCTTTAATTATATTTGTGAAAATACAAAAAAGGGAGATTTCAGTGCTTTTTTCGCATCTAGACCACATTAGACCAGGTCCTGATCCAAAACCACTATACCTAGACTCATCAAATCTGGACTGCATTATCCCAGAGAGTCTAAAGATTCTTTATAACACAGTTTTAGATTTGTGAAACCTTTATTATATTTGTGAAAATACAAAAAAGGAAGATTTTGCTGCTTTTTTTACATCTAGACCACATTAGACCAGGTCCTGATCTAAAACCCTAAAAATAAAAAATAAATTGGTTTTTGTGACCAGTTAGACTCATTATGGCCATTGTTTCCCTTTATTATGCTATTCTCTGCTATGACAAGTGCAACTACGGAAGTGGATTGGAGTCTTTCAGAGCCTGTCACAGTTCCAGATCATACCAGTGTAAATATATGTACATTAGTAATCATAGTTTTTCTATGTCAAAGAAAGTACAAACAGCATGCAACAATATCAAAACTTGCTAAACATGCTCATGTCTTTATTATATTTGTGTTGCAAAGGTCATGCCACAGTCTGACAAGCCTAACTTGTTTAAGAATTAAAATGCAGCCCCCACTTCAATCAATAAAGCCTTCCAAATATATATAATGAGCAGTGCTCATTAGTAGCCGTCATCCCATGCAGTTTAAATATACTGGGACCGCAGCAAGGCAGCGTTACACTGGTGAGTACATGTGAAAGGATTTCAGGAGCCTTTTGCTTAATTTATATTATTGTAGTGGTTTGAGTAAGAGTACTTTTTAGAAATTCTAACAATGTATTTTTAAAAATGTATGAAACAAAAAAAAGTCTCCATACCTGTTAAATAACAAACTAACTTTCTACGAATAAATTCAAGATGTTTTTTAAGATAGACTATATACATGTTCTGAAGCCACTGTGGCCTCAGGATGCTTCCGACACAACATTCAATAGCTTTAGCCACTAGCAACCTAGTTAATACATCAGGACCTGGTCTAACATGGTCTAGATGTAAAAAAAGCAGCAAAATCTTCATTTTTTGTATTTTCACAAATAGAATTAAGGTTTCACAAATCTAAAACTGTGTTATAAAGAATCTTTAGACTCTCTGGGATAATGCAGTCCAGATTTGATGAGTCTAGGTATAGTGGTTTTGGATCAGGGCCTGGTCTAATGTGGTCTAGATGCGAAAAAAGCACTGAAATCTCCCTTTTTTAAATGTTCACAAATAGAATTAAGGTTTCACAAATCTCAAACTGTGTTATAAAGAATCTTTAGACTCTCTGGGATAATCCAGTCCAGATAAATCGGCTATGCAGCGATTTAAGAGGTACAAACACGGAGGATTGTTCGCTCAGCGCTGTAAATAAAATGTCCCTTAACTTTCCCCTTAACTGCCGAATCGGAAGCTCTGAATCAGTCGTCTTTACAAGCTTAAAGGTTGTATTTATCATCTGAATTTGGCGAAACAAGTTTAATATTCTAAAAACCAAGAAATTGTTTATTTGAAATCAGATGAAAATAAACTGTCACGGACCCTGCCGATTTATCAATGATTACTATACGCTTTTCATTCATAATTTCAGCGGGAGGGAGGGGGAGCGGCGCTGAGGAACAGCAGAGTGCGGGTTGACAGGTGCCTGTGTTGACACTCCCCTTATTGTGCGTCAGCAGAGACAGGCTACAAGTGTCTTAGCTAGGTTCATGTTAGACAACTAATGTCTGGGTAGTGTTCATGACTTGATGTTTATGTCATCTAAAATAGTTTAAAATAGTTTTATTCCACTGTTAAATAACCTGTTCAATACAAACATGCCACTTGTACAAATTAAAAAACATTTCTGTGAACTGATATTTGTTTAGTGAGCTTATTAGAGGATGTTCTTTGAAAGATTGTAAAATGTCAACGAAGATGTCAGACTTAGTATATTTGTTAAAAATGACATACAATACATGGAATTTGTGTGTGTGTGTGTTCCAAGTGAATCTGCGCCCCCCTGGTTGCTATAATATAGCTTTTGATCTTGGCGTCGGGGGTCTCAATAGCGCCGTAGAGTCCCCTATTAGTTGGCGCCCTTGCCGGGCTCAGCCAATTCCAGCGTCTCATCCTGGCTGGCTGGAGAAGAAGGTTGCACAGCCACAGATACAGCTTCACTTGTGGAGCTAGATGGCAATGATGGTGGTGAGGGAGGTGAGCTATCGTTAGCCTCGGGCTCCGGCTGCCGCTGCACATCAACATTGCTAATGTTAGCGCTCGATTTCGAGGACGATGTATGACAACAAAAATCCATTTCTAATTTCGACAGTTTAGCTGTCTCTCCTTGTTCTCTCGTCCTTTCTCTTTTGAGCGCCGCTCTTGTGCTTTGGTTTGCTGTACATTATAAATGCAAGCTATTACATTTTTTATAATGCTGCCAAACTTGCTGCTGCTAGCTACAGTCCAGTACAGGTTGATTAAACGGTTCGCTCGTCACGCAACATATCACATGCATGAGAGGGAGCAAGGTCATTGGACAGACAAATTAATTTTCTTTTTTTTGCATGGGCCCCTGACCGGCTCTGGGCCCCGGTGCGTTGCACCGGCTGCACCGTTGATAGTTACGCCACTGATCATAGCATGTGATAGTTTTGCAACTTGAGGATACATTCAAAGTTCAAGACATGTTTGAATGATGACATCACCAAAAGTGATTTGTTTGTTGGTAAGCAGCAGAGGAGCAGAAAACTGTCAACAATAGACCGAGACAGCTTACGGTTTTAATGGTCAATCAGAGGATCACCCTCCGGTCTCTCGGATCAGATGTGATGCAGACAGGAGGGGAAATGACAACGGGCTAATGTGATTATTAAACAAGCCAAAGAAGGATCCGGTCTGTGACTGTGGCCGAGACAAAACGGGGAAATAAGGACAGAGGCCTAGAGACCTGATGGCAGTTTACATTTCCAACCATTATCCTCCTGTATGGTGTGAGTATACAGTAGTTACTATATTTGCAGGTCATCTTTACCTTATTATCTCTCAATGGGACATTTTGTTTGTAATATAGGGCAGAGTTTCCGTTATCCGGTAATTACCGGACTATGACCGGTAAAATATGCTGAAGACCGGCAAATCGAAATCCCTCCGGATAAAATGTCCGGTCAAAATAATTTCCCCTTAGCGCAATATCAGAGATCAAGATCAGCTGCTGCTGACGGTGACACGCAGCTCTTCATGATCACCTGCAGCTCCACACGATCACCTGCAGCTCCGCACGATCACCTGCAGCTCTGCATGATCACCTGCAGCTCTACATGATCACCTGCAGCTCTGCATGATCACCTGGAGTGGAGTGCACCAGCTGGGCGTAAAAAAGTAGGTCTTAACTCTAACGTCGGGCTAAGCTACGTCCGACTTAGTGATTTGAATTTACACCGAGTGCACCAAGTCTGACTAGTCTCGGTCGTAGCTGCGCCTAGTCTTAAGATGTGCGTCCACGTAAATACATGCAAAACAGTAATTGTTGACAGGCAACACAGGTCTACAAAATGTAACACTCAAACTTCTCCATTCAAAAGCAAGCTGTACACTTTTAAGAAAGGCCCCGTTAGCGTAAAATCTGAGTGCATTCAGCACCTGCAAGGTTGGGGAGAGCGCAGCGTTTCTGTCTGATCCGCACAGTAGTTGAGGGGAGATCTCCTCGATTAATTCATGACACAGAAGCCCTGAGACACAGTTTCGTGAATATTGTTGTGTTTTGCCCCTGGGGGCGGGGGCATTGGGTTTAACAGGTACCTCATTGTGAGCTGGAGTCCTTCACTGGAAACAAACCAGAACAAACACACTGAGTTAAAAAGTATATTTTTCATTACAATGAAAGTTTGAGTGATACATTTCATCCAGCAGTCAGCGGCCCTAAAACAAGAGAATGACATGTTTATAATGTGCTGAAAAACACAAAAAATATGCAGGGATGTGAGTCTGTTTCTAAGGCCTTTTTTATTTTTGGTAAATTCTGATCATTTAAACAAAAAGAAAACAGAATCAAACTGAAAACATCAGGAATCTTTTCTAGATACATTCATCATTGGTTCTTTTTTTTAGACCAGAACAGACTGCCAACTCAACAGGAACTATCAAAACATCCCAATCAAAGTTTAAGTCACAACATTTTATTAACCAAACAGGGGAACATAGGGAAACCTATGAGGGCGCTGTAGGACACAGGTGTGTAATGTACATTTTGAGGATGGAAGTCAATAGGCGTCAGGGGGGCGCTAGGGGGTGCTACAGGTCCCCTAAGATAGCCATAGCACCCCCAAGAAATGTATGTATTTTTTATTTTCATTTGTGAAATTCATTATTTGAAAAATTATTGATTCAAAAATAATATGCTACAGTACATTACAAGAACGTCTTGGTCTCTGTTTCATTCAAGCTCGGCTCTGTGTGTGTGTGGAACGAGCCATTTTGTGTGCGTGTGCACGAGAGAGAGAGAGCGTGCACCGGTACCGGAGATTGTTGTTGTTAGCATCTGGTGCTAGCTAGCTACGCTAACGGATATAAGGAGCTTTTTCAACAACAAGGTGGAGGGAGAACTCTCACCTGTCAGACTGAGAGGCTCAGATAACCTCAGCTCAGTGAGGTAAAGGACTCTCAGTGTTTAGATCACTCACTGAGATTAGTTATCTCAGTGGGTCTCAAACGGTTTGGTCACGATTAATGTAAACAATTATTTCCGAGGCACACGTTTATATGATCATTATAGGTATACAAAAATAAGAGAATAAATGAAAAACAGTTATGAAATACTATGACGGCAAAACAAGAATACAGTTTAAAAGGAGAGTGATTTGTAAAATATCCATAAAGAAAAAGTAAATCTGCTTACAGTTCTGTTTCATATACTCTTTTGTCTGTCACATACTATTCTTGTCTGTCACATAAGTGGCGCAACTGATGCGGTATTGCACTAAGGGGACATTATTTTGACTGGACATTTTGACCGGAGAGATTTAGATTTGCCGGTCTTCAGCATATTTTACCGGTCATAGTCCGGTAATTACCGGCTAACGGGAACTCTGGTGCGTGGGGAGTGTTGCAGTACAAAATTCAACTGTAGCGACCGGTATATTAATGGGAAACCCTAAATGTTTGAGCACCCTCTATGAAACGTCAAGCTACCCCACAGCACCCCCAAAAGAAAATCTCTGGCGCTGCCACTGAGCCTAAAACCCTGTTTTGAAGAAATGTGCTGTGCAAAACAGGCTCATTGCAGCCACTAATGCTGTGATAAGACACACTTTACTGCCAAATATCAGCATCTTCTTTCTTTAAATTTTTTAGCACAGATTGCAAAGTGGCAAAGTATTATAACTTATTGTTCTAGCAAAGGGATTGCACAATTATATTATGTATTTATTCTTTTGAGCACACAGACTTCTGGAGAATTGTTTTACTATCACTGTTCTAACAAAGTGAACGTTAATATTGATGTATTTTAATAAATGTTAACTTGGCCCATTACGTGACTATTTGTGTTGGGGGGGACCGACTTTTTTTTTTCTCCTGACGGAAAAAGCTTGAGAACCACTGGGTTAGGGAGAAAACGGCATCTCTTCACACCAGTACGGTATCTCTCCAGTGTGAACACGTTGATGTGTTTTGAGAGCACCTGATGTTTTGAACGTTAGCCCACACTTTTCACAGCTGTACGGTTTTTCTCCTGTGTGAATACGTTGATGTTTTTTGAGAGAACCTGATTGAGTGAACGTTTGCCCACACTCTTCACAGCTGTAAGGTTTTTCTCCTGTGTGAATACGTTGATGTATTTTGAGATGAATTGATTGAGTGAACATTTGCCCACACACTTCACAGCTGTAAGGTTTCTCTCCTGTGTGAATACGTAGATGGATTTTGAGATGACCTGATTGAGTGAACGATAGCCCACACTCTACACAGCTGTACGGGATTTCTCCAGTGTGAATACGTTTATGTGATATGAAAGGACCTGATGTAGTGAACTTTTTCCCACACACTTCACAGCTGTACGGTTTCTCTCCTGTGTGAATACGTTGATGGATTATGAGAGAACCTGATGTCGCGAACGTTTTGCAACACTCTTCACAGCTGTGCGGTTTCTCTCCCGTGTGAATACGGTGATGTGATTTAAGATAATACGATGTCGAGAATGTTTGCCCACACTCTTCACAGCTGTATGATTTTTCTCCAGTGTGACCACGCTGATGTTTTTTGAGAGCATTTGATGTTGTGAATGTTTTCCCACACTCTTCACAGCTGTATGTTTTTTCTCCAGTGTGACCACGCTGATGTTTTTTGAGAGCATGTGATGTTGTGAATGTTTTCCCACACTCTTCACAGCTGTACGGTTTTTCTCCAGTGTGAATACGTTGGTGTCTTTTCAGATGACCTGATTGAGTGAACGTTTGCCCACACTCTTCACAGCTGTATGGTTTTCCTCCAGCGTGAATACGTTGATGTCTTTTGAGATGACCTGATTGAGTGAACGTTTGGTCACACTCTTCACAGCTGTACGGTTTTTCTCCAGTATGAATAAGCAGGTGGCGTTTTAAATTTCCAGATTTTGTAAAGGATTCATCACATTGCTGACAGCTGTGACGTCTCTCTCTTCCTTTCGGTTTCTAAAACAGACGGACAGAGAAAGAGAGAAAGTAAATCTAAAACACAAATACATATACAGTTAACACAATAAAAACTCACTTAAAGGTGGGGTAGGTACGTTTGAGAAACCGGCTCGAGATACACTTTTTGTTATATTCCATGGAATGCTCTTAACATCCCGATAGCAATAGACAAAAATTCCATAAAAAAATGTCATCTGTGGAAGCCGTAATACTGTAAAAAGCACGACCAATCATCTGAGCCGGCCCGGCTAAAATAACTGGATGGCCTACCTGCCTGTCAGCCTTCCATCTGTGCACAAACTTATCTCGTGCCCTCATTGGTCATGTGCATGTTTGTGTGTGTTGGAAGAGGGGCTCTGTGAGGAAGTGGCAGATTTTTCCCGGCTGTGTATTTTCAAATTCTAGCGATCTCGAGCGAATGATAGACCTGTGAGTTGGATGTAGAAGTGTCAGAATAGATATAGATGATTTTATTTTAAAGTAAATTCAGATTTAACATAGTAAACAAATATAATTATAGTTTCCGTAAAAAAAAAAACATTACTTATAGTGAAAACCACCCTTGAATGATGGGGTAGTAGACTAAAAGCTTTAGCAATCCAAACTATAAAATATAATAAGTACCCTGTATCAAGATTGAAAAAAAAGACATCTGGGTGTATTTGCCGTATCTCTGGAGCCCATCGGTCAATTTTGGTGATTGAAACCTCTTTTTAACCGTTAGAGCCAATAGAATTGAGGGGAAGTTCCTAAAATCCACCTAAACATTATCATTGAGGATTGAGAGTGATGCGCACGCAGTTTGCCCAAACCGAAAGCTACATTACGTTAATAACTACAGATCCATTGGAAATTAATCAGGCCTTTGTTTCATTCTATAAGAGGCTTTATCAATCTGATTATCCATTGAATTCGGTAAGTCAAAACACTTTCCTAGATGGGCTGTCTTTTCCCAATATTTCTGTAGAAACAAAACTCGCAATGAATAGGGAACTGAACTTTGAAGATATTTCCAATGCCATTCTTAACATGAAAGGTGGTAAGGCCTCAGGACCTGACGGGATCCCAATTTACATGTATACATTTTTCAATGCAAAATTGATAGCCCCATTGTTAAACATGTATGCATGGAATCATTTGAGCAGGGCAGCCTCCCCCCTTCGCTACAAAGTGCCTTAATAACTCTTATTTTAAAGCCAGGTAAATCATCATCCGAATGTGGCTCTAATGGCGCGTTTCCACTACAGCGCGGAGCACGGTTTAAGAGGGCTGTGACGTCAGCGGCCCGTTTTTGGTTGCGTTTCCACTTGGCCTAGTACCGGCCGGCGGGTCCTAATTCACAGTTTTTCTGGCCTCATAAAATCGTGGGTCTAGGGCCAGAGACAACGAGGCTGAGTCGGGCTGAGTATGCTCAACTAGAGAGAGAATCGCTGGCAAGGGGACTACAACTACAACAAGATGGACATATTTGACCGTGATTTAATTGTAATACACGTTTCAAAATGATGCCGAAGTAACAACATACTGATACCGGTTAGTAAAAACCATGAATTAATGCTTTGACAAGTCTGCAGACAGACGGCAGGCGAAAAACCTTTTAAAATGCGTGTTTTCTAAATGGAGATTGGCTAAGCTAACGCAGTATATGCTCCGACCGTCCACACTCACAACAACGGCCTATACAGACATAAATAAAGCAGCGACTGTATTCGCCATGACACAGACAGTCTGTGGTTTGTACTTGTTTAACTTTTGTCTAGTTTCTGAACAGATATGAGGAGCTGTGAGCTCTGAGTGCTTACAGCTAACGGCTGTGTTGTTTTTCTGGGGTTCTCATTGAAGATCACGTCACGGCTCCGCCTACACTGCGTTACTATAGATACTACCCCAGTTCCTAAACTGTAATGGAAATGCGCCATAAAGTGAGCCAGTCCTAACGAGGCCTAGCCATACCGAGCGAGGCCGAGCGAGGCCGTGTAGTGGAAATGCGCCATAACAGACCAATTCCAATTTTGAACTCTGACGCAAAGATAATTGCTAAAGCCTTGGCTATGGGACTGGAGAGGTTCCTGCCACAGATGATACACGCAGATCAAAGAGGCTTTGTTAAAAATCCTCAGGGATTCCATAATGTAAGTAGGGTTACGTTTTGTGAAGGAACCCCGGACAAGGCCATTTTGTCATTCGATGCAGAAAAGGCGTTTGATAGAGTCGAATGGCCCTATCTGCTAGAAGTGCTTAAGCGCTTTGGTCTAGACTACTTAAATGGATTAAAATTATATTTTTTTATTCGTCCGCAGTAGTATTAACCAATAACTGTATTTCACAACCATTTATACTCTTTCGCGGCACGAGACAAGGCTCTCATATTTCGCCTCTCCTTTTTGTGATAGCTATTATATGGAGCCGTTGGCAATAGCCATACGATCACACCCTTTGATTTATGGTATTAAGACAGGGCACCTAGAGCATCATATAGCATTGTATGCAGATGATGCCATAGTGTTTTGATCAGGTCTTGCAATATCCCTCTTAAAAGTAATCAATCAATTTGGTAAAATCTCTGGTTTTAAGGTGAACAAAGATAAATCCTCTATTATGTTTCTCAATGAACAGGAGGGAAGAAATCCAAAATCATCTTTCCCATTTGTAAATGCCATAGACGGTTTTGCTTATCTGGGTATTAAAATTACACCAAAGATACACATTCTCAGTGCATCTAATTACGAACCCTTGTTAGCTAAAGTGTCAGAAGATTCCACTAGGTGGACAACATTGCCTCTGTCCTTAGTGGAAATAATTAATATAATTAAGATGAGTATATTGCCAAAATGTTTATATCTTTTTCAATCAATCCCACTCGCACCTCCTCCTCCATTTTTTTCTAAAATAAGAAAGCTACTTTCTAAATGTATTTGGAATAACAGGAAGCCGAGACTTAGACTCTCTCTGTTGTATTTACCTTATAAATATATACCTTTAAGCCCTAAACTTTGTATTTTAAGTATTTATCCAGAAGACTGTTCACTATCGGTTAGGGAAAGAAATATTTTTAACCTATGCCTTCTACAAGCCAGGCGCTCAATTGCTTTGTGTTGGGAAAATGTTGGTTGCCCCTCCCTGAGCCACAGGTTAAACAATTTAACTTTGAGTCTGGCTCTTGAGAAACTCACATATATACTAAGGAAGAAAGCTTCTGAATTTTACACCATTTGGGAATTATTTTTGGAATTTATAAAAAAGTGGGGACATTGCAGAAGTGATGGAAGGTTAAAGTGAAAAGACTAAACTACTACTACTACTGAGGACATTTTGAAATTGGTTAATCTATTGGAGAATTGTAAGCTACTCTGCTCTGTTGTGGATGTGCTTTTATTGTATTTTTGTTGAATTTGCTAATGTAATTATATTCTTGGTCTGTACTTTAAACTGATGATTCTAGTATCTACACACTTTTTTTTGCATAATTTTTTAATCTGCCATATGTCTAATGTTGGGGAATGTTCAGTTGTGTTTGCGTAATGTGATAAATGTTAGAACATTACTAAGTAGTAATGTTCTAACCTATATCCAACCATATTGTGCATTAATATTGTATTTCTAAACAGGTTGTGATCTTTCATTTGGGGATAACAGTGATAGGAATATATTGTGATGAAGTGCACACTGACCTGAGCTCCAGGGGGTCTTTTTGTTCTCCTCCATGCTGCTCTCAGAGCTCCTTCTCCGGCTGTGTCCTCTGAAATAATCAACACAACTACAGCTGACACAAAAACAAGATAACTCAATACAACCGACAGACACAACAAAACAAATCTACAGCTACGTCTTAGGTTAATGGCAGAGGCGAGAAGTAACTAAGTGATTTACTCAAGTACTGTACTTAAGTACTATTTAGAGGTACTTGTACTTTACTCTTGAAAAGGAATCTAACTTCGATAAAACCAACGGTTTATACAAGGCATTCATTTTGTTATCCTACAGTATTGTTGTTTTATAGTTATTTGTTAATGTAAATAACCCAATTTGTGTTCTTTGAAATTGAAAAGGATATTGCATTGTGTTTGTTACTTTCGTTGCAGTTGTATACATGTCTTAAGTGTAATTTGGCTTGTCTTCCTATTTTGTATGGACATGCTTTTATTTTGAAGGAGGGTTAGCGCTGTTGACAGGAAGTGGTTGTTGCTATGGAAACAATGTGACAGAGAAAAAGAGCGGAGATTAACGGAGAAAAGTTATATCTACATATAAAGACGGAGAAAGTAAACTATAAAGTTTATGGTTAAGTGTTAGCACCCCCCGAAGAGGCAAAAGCTCTTACGTTGATATTGGAGATGTCAATCAATTCAATTTGGCAGCCACAGTGCCAAAAAAAAAGAATATCCGAATAACGAAATTGAAAACTGAATAGTAGGCCAACGATCGACTATTCGGCTCAGCCCTAGCTAACAGCGTTAGGCCTGTCGTGATAAGCAATTAATTGACTTATCGTACGATAAATACAAATGAACTCGATAACTTTTCTGACATCGATAAATTGCCGTTTACAAGTGTGTTTGTTTACATAAGGATGTGACCAGCATTTTAGTCAGGCGCGCTGTGTCTGCCGGCCAGGCGCGCTGTGAGGGGCAGGGCTCACACACAGCCAGGTCAGGACACTCCGCGTGCAGCAGCAAAATGAATAATATAGAGACAAGCAGGAGCCAACGTATGACTTACTCGAGGGGAATTTGAAGTTAAATGGAATTGGTTGCGAAACCTAATTCTACATCTCCGGTGTTGGAATATTTTGGATTTAAGCCAAAAGAACGAGGCGAACCTACGGACTTGAATGAGCCGCCGGTATGTCGCATTTCTTTTAAAAAGGTATAGCAACAAAAGCTAGCAATACGACCAACCTTAAACTGCACCTGAAACACAACCACCCCATTCCGCTTTCCCAGCTGGGAGCAAACACGGCAGCTGGAGATGGAGAGCCCCCCACCTTCCCGACAGTT